CTGAAAATATTATGAACGATTGGCCTCTGTCGCGCAGTTCTTGCAAATCTCTTGTCAAAAATGGCAAAAAAAAAAAAAAAAAAAAAAAAAAAACTTTAGCAAGGGAAACCTGTAGAAATTACAAAAGAAATTCACTTCACTAAAACAATACTGTATGTCATTAAGATGATCTAGTAAAAACAACAGTTATTGATTTGACATACTCGATGTATATTTTTGGGTGACAGCTCAGGAGATCTCTCAGCCTCACACGAGGATTTCAAATGCCAAGATTAATTTCTCTCTGCTCCCTTTGGAATGATGTTATTATGGTTGGAGAAATGACAGTTTTATCAATTATGCATGAGGCGACGGTGTGTGGAAAGCATCTATGCAAACTGAGTTCACCCCCATGGATGGTGGTGAAATCAGTGAAAAATGCTCATTTCAGAGCGATGAGTTCAGGCAAGTTCCCACCAGGTAGGCTCCACCCAGGAAGAGATATAGACCTGCTAAAGATGCTTTGACTCACATCGGCTTGTTGGATCTCAACAACCAGTTCTGTTTGGGTTTCAGAACATGGTTAGGACCTTAGAGGCATAAAAACAGACCCAAAAGGTTTAACTGGATGTAACATACTATATGTGAAATTTTAATGTAATTTGTATTTTATTTGTATGTGATCTGGGACTACAGATGAAAGTTAGCCTTCTTGGCTAATTCTGGCATACTGACACATTGTCCCTGTTACATGAATAAACTAAACTGGGCTTTGTGTATTTTGGAAAATACACAACTATATATATATGATTCTCAGATTGTTATTCTGAGGCATGGCTGTATGCAACATACACACATTCTAAACTCTGTAAAACAAACATGATTAAAAGAAAGTTTGACATGTTATATTTACTGTGCAAACAGTAAAGTGGTAATAAGCTTCTTCTCCAAGTCTCGACAAGAGGGTGGATAAACATGTTATTGCATCAAAAAGAAAATCTGAAGTCACAGTCCACTGATTGGCTTTTTCCAGGAACAAACTAAGTGAAACTTAGAAATTTAAAACATTTTTCTTTAAGCTACCATTTCTGAGGACAAGAGTGAACCTTGTCACAGATGTAAAAATGTTTAGTTTTGAACAGTTTCACTCCCACCTCTGTTGTTTATCAAGTAAACAAAGAACAGACAAGGAAAATAAAGCATCACTGTTGGAACACATTTACAGTTTAATGGCAAAGTAACAGTTACCATGGAAACAAAATATATTATATGTACCTACCTGTACACAAAGAGAGTAGTGAATACATAAAATATTTGCATCCATATGAACGATGTTCATGACAGACAGGTGAGTAGAAGCTATATTTATAGAAGTAGAGGGGAGTGGATGTAAAAGATGGATGATCTACTGGGTTGTTCTCATGCTTGTATCTTTTCCTGTTCCTCCACATCCCATTCTCTTACTAATCCTCTCATTCTTTGTCTCAAAATCTCTGTCATTATCTCTCTCCATTCTCCTGGCTCGAATGCTGTACATTCTCACATCAACAGCTCCACCAACAGGTGGAAAAATGCCTCTCAGGTTTACACCCTTCTATCAGTCCAAGGCACTGTCTATATATCCCCCTCATAGTGAAATGCAACGCCACATATTTACAAGGTCTGTGTTTTAAGTGTCTGTTAACTGAAGGGGAAATATTTATTGTCATTCACCACACAGCAATACTGAATCAACAGAGTCACAAGGATAAAAGAGTAAGGACACTGCACATAAGGCACAGAGCTGCTCTTTTCATTGCTTGTATAGAAGTCAACCAACATAATATCTGGGAAATGATCAGTTTGTAGCATGATCAATTACACTTTGCTTTTTTCTTCAGCTTTGCAATGAGTCCTTATAAAAACAGTTCTGACACTCCTAAAAACATCAGCTCTATGTACCAAACACACAGCACACTAAAAAAAACCTCCAAATACATCCACTGGGGGGCAGAGATGAGTTGCTCCGACTAGATTTTGTGCCCACTTGATCTAGAAACCTCTCAAGCATTAAAACTCTACAGGAACCAAATGTTTCAGGCAGCCTGTGGCCCACATTCAGTTAACAGCTTTGAGTAGCATTCTGAACATATGATTTAGAGGTTTAGTAAGATACGGGGGGAAAAGAAAGTAATGAAAATGGTATATAACATAAAAATGAGGCCTATACATACACACAATTTCATATATAATCGATTAAATATGCCAATAAATTTATATAGAAGGTCAGCATACAGGTTAAGACCATGTTGTCATAAGTCTTCACAGCCACACAATTCAATGAGTAACACAATTTCCCAATTCTAACCCATCCTTAAAACAAAACATTCCTAAATCCTATCCTTACCCAAGCAAAGACCAGATATGTGGCTTGACACACAGCATCTGAGTCATATTTGCTCAGGTTAAGCTGCGGCTGGCCCAACTGGCTTAGCAAGCAATTGCAACTGAGAGGTAGGCTGCTCAACTGCACAGCAACTGATACTGTTCTACCAAGATTGTCAGACATGAGAAAAAATACACCACTAACAACCCCTCTGAGTCAATAACTATATTATCACCAATGACAGTACAAGTTCTGTGTGTGTGTGTGTGTGTGTGTGTGTGTGCGTGCACACACAAGAATGAAAGGAAATTTACAGGGTCATCAGGTGAGCATCATCTCATTAACTGGTGTTTTGTTGAGCTGGGCCCATGACACCAAGAAGGCTCAGTGTGTTCCAGAATTCCGAAACCACCCCCTCTTTGCCAGCACCCACACAACCCTTCATTAAAGTATCTTGATAATTCAGGCTGACTGTTGCCAAAACAAAAACTAAGCCATAGAAAATACTTACAAATCATAGCAAGAATTGTGAATGCTGTCCTAGCCAAACATTTCAAATAGCCACCAAACATTTCAACTTGACCCATAGCAAGCAAGCAGCAACACTAGCAAACATTTGAAATAACCCACCAAGCACAAGCATTTCAATTTGACCCATATTAAACAAGCACAAACACTAGCAAACATTTGAAATAACCCACCAAGCACAAGCATTTCAATTTGACCCATATTAAGCAAGCACAAACACTAGCAAACATTTCAAATAGCCACCAAACATTTCAAGTTGAAATTTTCAACTTGAGCCATAGCACACAAGCACCAACACTAATGAACATTTCAAATAAGACACCAAATAGTTCAGATAACTCACCAAACTCCTGCTTCTTTTTTGTACAGAGTCATTTTCTACCTTGCATTACTAATCAGTCAAACTTCTATATCCTCATGTTAGCTCATTCATGGTAACACCAAGAAAAATCTGCTACATGAAACACCTAAGTTCTTGACTCTGTCTTAGGCTCCGCCCACTTACAGACTTGGCTACAAATCCCCTACAACCAACTTCCGCTGTGTGGGCTTTAACCTTCCAGCCATACTCCTCTGGCTCCACGGCCAGTTCCATATATTTCAGTCTTTTCCTCTCATACGCTATTTCTAAAGCGTCCTCCCCAGTAATGATGGCCAAACAAGCTTTCCTAAAGCAATGAGTCTTTGCAGTCCATTATATCACTAAAAGGTTCATTACTTGAAGCCTCGTTTGACTCGGTGCTCACTAGTGGCACCTATTGTTAAAATGATGAAGTGCAGCCATCATCACTCTTACCTTTGAGTGCAAATACTGCCATGTTTGTGCGACTGAAAGAGGAAAGAGAAACATTTGACATTTTTAAGAAACAAACGTTTCTATTATATACTAAACGAAATATAAAATTACAACAATAAAATGATGAAATTCCTATATTCATCATGAAAATGGGGATAGGACAGCTGATTAGGCTATATAAAATGTGGTTCAATGTGTATTAATATGTTTAATCAAATTCAGTATGTATTAAAATAACATTGTGCTAATTATTTTTAAAAGACATTAAATACTGTTCAACTGGAAATACACAGCTTTAGGGAGACAAAAGGAAGCAAATAAAATTGACAGTGTTACTTTCACACTGCTTAAGGCAAAAGTTGGCAGAGAAAATAGTGCCACATCATACATCATACAACTTTTGTTTAAGTAAAGGTTGGTCTTAGTTCTGCTTGCGTAACATTCAGCTTTCAAAGTCCAGTGTTTGCAGGGTTTAACTTAAATGTTTGCTCAGTGATTTAAAACTCTCTTTTAATACCTCATATCGCCCCCAGAGGGCGCTGTTGTTATTTCAGCTCACCGCAGAGGCGGAACACGACGTGGCAAGCAAACAGTTCACTTCCTGTATTTTGCACTGTCATCTGTCTCACCGTACATTTGTTTTAGGTCCGGCAGATCAGACTTTGTAGCAGCGTTGAAGTAACCATTTAGTACAAGGAGGGTGGGCTGATGTCTTAGATGAGGAGCCGGCTTTAGGAGCTCAGCGGCCGGGCTGGAGAGATGGCGGCCAGGCTGCTGTTTGTGTTTCTCGGGGGGCTGCTGGAGGTCTGCAGCGGCGTCTCAGCAAACAGAGGGGGATATCCCTCTTTTACAGATGAAATTCCCTTTAAAATCACCTGGCCAGGGGTTGAATTCACGCTGGTATGCCTCCAGCTTTAGTAGCATCGTTTTTTTAATAAAACAAATTCACCGTAAGGGGTTGGAGAGATATTATTGTGCACTATTTAGAGTTCCTTTCTCTCATACCCAAAGTAACAAACATGTTTCTGTGGATTTCAGCCAACTTCAGGTCCACTTTACAACGAAGATGACTTTGTCATCATGACAACAACAGAGAAGGAGAAGTACAAATGTCTCCTGCCTTCACTGACATCTGGAGAGGAGGTAAGATGGGTTAACTTGTGATGTGGGATTGTGACCGGACGCGTTTTGTCCATTCATAGATAAAGATGAACTGCTATTGCTTACACATGGAATAATTGTAAACACAGCAGATGTTATGACAAGTTATTAACTTACAAGACAATGATGATCAGCTTGATTAATGGTTTGCATAGTACTGTATACTTACTGCTCTTCGGGTGTACATACATTGAATTGTGTACAGGAGATTATGACACAACTGTGCTCCTTTATTTTCAAAAACATTTTTAACAAGTGAGATTGTGCAGTTTTGTAGGAGAGCTTCAGTTGTACAAGACTAGCATACAGTCATGGGAAAAAATTAGGACACCCTTTGAAAGCATGTGTATTTTGTAACATGTTTTAATATATGGTTATTTAATCTCAATTTTAACAATACAGAGAGATTAAAGTAATACAACTAAACAAGTAAAACTGAAGAAAAGTCTTTTCAAGATCTTCTGTAAATGTAATTCTACAAAAATGCCTATTCTAACTGAGGAAGGGTGTCCTAATTTTTTCACATGACTGTATGTCTACCATTGCTTTAACTACCATTTGTCATAGTAGCTTTGTAGTAATTTGTGGTGCAGTAATGTTACCCAACAATGTCCTCGCCGATATAAGGGATGCAACAATAGTGCCCACAAGACCAGATAGGTTTTAAGCAAGAATCCAGTTTGACAGTGTTACACGATTCATTAATCTTAGAGTGGAAACAAACCTGAGCCAGAACAAGCAAGAAAATACCTATTAAAAAGGGTATTTAAAAACAAAAGTAGCTGAATAATGTGCAGCACAATTCCACGTCACATCATTATAAGCCCTCTATGATTTGATGCCTCCCTCTTTCCCCAGAGGGTGAACATTTCTCTGGATGACGGTATCTATTCGGTTCAGTTGGAATCTGATATGCTAACGTTTTATTATTATTACTTCCATGTTCATTCACTGATACAGCTCCATGCGCTTCTTTATCTCTCGCATTGTTCGTGCATTCACTTGGTGGTCTTTTGTTGTCTCAGGATGATGATAAGGATTACAGCGGGCCCAGTCCCGGTGAACTGTTGGAGCCACTGTTCAAACGAAGCAGCTGCTCCTACAGAGTGAGACTT